TCCTCATTCCCAGTAAAAACATCCCATTGCCCTCGTGCTGTGCTGAATTCCCACTGAAATCCTCAGGATTGATGCCTTCCCTGAGCTTCGTGTCCGGTGTGTGGATCCCGTGGATCAGACCCCATGGGGTTCCTGTTGTTTCATGCCCATTGTCTCAATCTTTGCCCCAAATCCATGAGATTTCTCCCGGATTTATTGCCGGGGCTGGATAACCCGGCTCAGGCTTAGCCGAGCCAGGCTTACCGGCCCCTAAACCCCAGGAGAGCAGGAACAACACGTGGCCCCCCCGGCTGCTCCGAGGGGACGATGCCACGGACTCCCTGTCCCTGTGCCAGCCCCGAGCCCGCGGGACCTGCCCCGGGATCCGCCGGGAGCCTCCGGAGCCGCTCGGAACGGCGAGCGGAGCACAGAGGGGCCGAGCCCCAGCCAGCTGTCAGTCCTGGTGCCAGGAATGCTGCTGCTTCCAGTAGGACTCCAAAAAAATTCCACTCACGGGAAGCTGTTTCGTATTGATTTTATCTTCCCCCCCCTTCTCCCCTTTTTTTTCCTTTTTCCTCTTTTTTCCCCTTTTTTTCCCCCCTTTTTCGCCATTTTTGCCCCCCTTTTTTTTCCAGTATTTTTTTCCCCCTTTCTCTTTTAAAGAACAGAATATTCCAAGGTTGTGGAAAAATAGGAAAACTCTGCGCTGACTCCTCTGCTGAGAACATGGGTGGGATATTTGGAATTCTGATTCCATTTGTAATTCCATTTTTAATAGGAAGCCCTTGGGAAGGTGTCCACGGAGAGGGCAGGACATATAGAAATTGTATTTACAGATATAAATTATATTGATATAAAATGGTATTTGATATCTAGTTTATATTTCTCTAGCTATATTTCCCCATGGGTGAGGTGCTCACAGGTATTGGATAAATGGCCTAAAATTCCCACTTATTTCAAGGAGGTTTTCCTTGGGTAATTCCTAACTCCCTACAATTTTCAAGTTGATTTTTCTGCTGAAATGAGGTAGGGTTTTAATCTCTCAGGAAAACAAATTCCTATTTTTTTGATGGATAACCTGGCAGTGAGCGGAGCCCATCCCGGTGGCAGGAAATCTGGGATGCGGAGATGTTCACTCTGCATCTCCTGCAGCCCAGCTTCAGAAAATCTGGGATGCAAAGCCAGGGATTGAGGTAGAATTCAGCTGTTTGATGCTTCCCACAAGTTCCCTGTGCTCCAGCCAGCAGCACCTGTGTGTCTATTCCCGGGGGTCTGGGGAGTTCATCCTGTGCTCCCTTTGCTCAGGAGCTCATCCCAAATATTTCCCAGCTCCGTGGTGCTTAATTCCTGGTCTGATTTTGGAGTTCCTCTTTAATTTGGCATTAAATTTGTCTTTAATTTGTGTTTAATTTGCCGGTGAAGGGAATCGATAGGGCTCCGTTCCCGGTTGAGCTGTTGGAAATCGGAGGGAATGATCCTTAACTATCCAAAATGCTGAAAATCCAGGGATAAAATAACAAATACATTTAAGCAAAATCTATTTGGAACCATTAAAATTCCAATGCCTGATAAAAGGCCTATTTTTGTTGTCCCCAGCCAGGTTTTCCTGCCTGACCAAGCTCAAATCCCAAATTAAAATATTGCAGTGGAATTCTTCCCTTAAAAATTATTTTCAATATGAAATCAAGGGAAATATTGAATTAAAATATTTGAGAGAATTAATTTCCCTTCCTTTTCTCTGCTTATGGAAGAGTTGCCTCGTCCCTCTCATCCTGCTTCCCAGAAAACAGCCAAGGTGCCCTTTCTCCAGGGCAGGGATTGGGATGACTTGCATTTATCCTTTGGAAGTTGCTTCTGTTTCCTCCTGGATTTAATCAGTTTTTCCAAGCCCACTGTGGTTCAAGTGGCTCTTTATGGATTTATGGAATGATTTGGACTGGGCTGCTTTTATAACAAAAGCACACAAGGAAAATTTCGTAAGAAAGGGGTTCCGGGAAGAGAAGGCAGCTTTTTTCCCGGAGGTATTTAGGGAGCAGGGAGTCGCAATTCCAAGTGTGCCAGGCAAGCGGGAGCGGCTCAGAGTTCTCCCTTTGTCTGTGCCGTGATTGGCATTGTGGCCATTCACTGAACATCCTGAGATTCCCCCCACGCTCCGGCGCTTCCCTGCCTTCCCCAAACCCACCCAAACTTCCTCCCCGTGCCGGCCAACTTCCAGGCAGAGCTTTGTTCCCCCAGCCCCAGATCCTCCGGAGCGCCGAGCCGGGAATTCTCAGCACGTTGGCACAGCTAAAAATCCACCCCGGCCCTTCTCCCCCTTCCACCCTGGCGATTTTCCCCCCATGGCGTGGGGTTTTTTTTCCCAAATCCGGCGAGTGGGGCCTTTTCTCCGGGAAAACACGGCCGTGGCCACTCAGCCAGGAAAAGCGGGAGCACAGAATGCTCCGCTCCTGCCTCTTTTGAGGAGTTTTAGCCATGGGGCTTTGGCACTGCCACCCTTGTCTTTGTGCCAAAAAATATCCGCAGCGGCTGCCGCATTCTAGTACTGGAGGCTTGGCTCGAAAATTCCGCAGTGGATGCGGCGGGAAGCCACGGCGCTGAACGCTTTGCTTTCCCCCGAACCCTCCCGCAGCCGGCGGGGCACCTGCACCTTCCGCCTTCCCGACCCTCGGAAAACGCTGAATTCCCGGGAAACGGGGGCCAATTGAGGAGCGGCTTTTCTCGCCCGAGCTGTCATTGTTTAAAGAGCCGGGTGTTGTCACAGGGCTTTTGGGATGTGCCGCGGGAGCGACGGGAGCGGAGGTAATTGGGAATGGATAATTTATAGGGAAGACGTTCCCCCTTGGCCCACCGGGAATGGTTTGATGGTTACGGGTGAGGGGAAAATCCTCAACTCTCCACAAACTCTCCATACAACCTCCACACAGAATCCACACAAAATCTCCACAGAATCCCCACAGAATCCCCACAGAATCCCCACAGAATCTGCAGCCGGGGCTTTTTAACAGTTCCCGGAGTTCTGCCTGGGTGTGGGGTGTGGAGGAGGTGGCTTTTGGGAAGCTCCCAGCGGCCGCCTCAAAACTCGCTCCGGAGCTCCGGAGCGCCGGGTTCGGTGGGAGAAGCGGCCGCTGGAGATGAAATCTTTCCCGAGGAGCACAAGCCTAAAAAAAAAAAAAGCCAAGTCAATCTCCCGCTGGCTGCGGAGCCGCTTTGGTACCTCGGAGCCTTCGACAGAGCCCTGGCCGGGTGCCCATTGATGTCATGGAAACACTCAAATTACCGGGAATGATTCACGTCTCCGGCGGTCCCTGTTCCTCCCCCACGCGGGCGCAGCGCGGCCGAGCCCTGACAACTTGTAATTTGCGGGGGGTTTATTTTGGTGCCGGGGTAAATATTTCTGCCCAAACTCAAATTAAGCCGTGGCTGAGACGATGGCAAAGGGGCTCCTCAGGTGCTCCCGCTCGCTCCCCTCAGCCCTTGGTTCCTTGCGGGAATTTTTTGCCCCCCCCAGTCCCTGCCGCTCGTTGTTCCCAAAGACTTCCCGGCCCTCTCGGGGCGATGGGAAGCGGACGTGGATTGAACTGTCCCATCTCGGTGTTGAACTCGTGGATTCCCTGTTTGGATTTCATTGTGGTTTCAATCCTGACTTAGGTCCGGTATTCCCGAGCGGAGGGTTATCCATGATCTTTGAATACCCAGCTCCGAGTCCTTCCCAAAGTTAGGCCTAATCCCCCATCCATCACAGCAATACTTGGGAGATGCTCGGGTATTTTATATGGAAAACAACAAAACCGAGGAAGAAACAAAAGACTCTGGAGACTTAAATTGGGATGGGGAGAAGGAATTTTGATTCCAAGCCACTTGGAATAACCAAACTGTGTCCACAAAGGGCCCTCAGAGCTGGTGGATGGATACTAAAGGCTCCTGGAGTTGGGATGTGGCCACTGATTTCGGGAATGATTTCAGTGAGCCCCAGCAGCCTTTGTCTGACGGTCTGCCTCGCCTTGGCTTCTTTATGGAATGTGGCTGGGATTGGGAATATGGAGCCCGGCAGCAAACCCGGCTCCTGGGTACGGAGTGTCACCAGGAATCACAGGGAGCATCCGCTCCTTCGTGCCGGGTGCTGCACACGGGGCTTTCCTGCCCCAGCCTCGGAACACAGGGAATTTTGGGGGGGATTTTTCCTGCCTCTGGATGTTTTGTCAGCGGTGCCTCCCCCCTTCCCCTGCTGGGCTTCTCCTCTCCCGAAGGGTGCTCTTTCCCTGGCAATGTGTTTGGGATCAGCTCTCTTGCCTGCTCTTTGTCTGGGAGCACGTGGGGCACTGCTGCTCAGCCACCACTTGGTGCTTGGCACAAACCTCCTCTTCTCTCCCTCCCTTCGCCCCTTCGATCCCAAAGAATCCCCCTTGCTGCCCTCTGGAAAAGCGGCACGGCCGAGGCTGCGAGTCAGGCTCTGGGATGGGAGAGTTCAAAGCTTCCTGGGAAAAAGGAGAGGGAAGAAAAAAGGGGCTTGGAGCGGGCACAGAGATCCCCACTCGGCTCCTGGCCCTTCTGGCAAATTCCCAATGCCCAATCCGTGTCTCTTTCCCAGGTGGATCATGAGAGAATTTTCTCCTGGGAAAGAGCAGGGAAGCATATCCCCAGCAGCTCCTGGAAGCTGGGAGAGCTGGGAGGTGGGAATGTCTGCTGCCTGGTTGGGAGATTGGCTCCCACCTTCACCCAGCCCATGGAATCCCATCAAATCCCAGGTCCAGGAGCAGCACAGCCAGGATTAGGAAGCTTAATTCCCATCACCATCACCAGGAAGTTTAATTCCCATCCCATCCATCCCAGCAGGAAAACTGTGAATCCCTTTCTGTGCATTCCAGTGGCAGCAGTGCCTGGTTTATCCATGGAATATATATAAATACACATGGAATTGGCATTGGGGAAATGGGATGAGCGTCACCTAAAGCACTTGGAGAAGCTTTGTGTGTGTTCCTGTGCTATCCGTGTATTTACCTGGATTTTCCCTCTCTTCCCAGGTAAAACAGAACGAGGTTCCTACTCATCATACGGACGAGATTCCAACTTACAGGGCTGCCACCAGGTAAGTGCGAATCTGCTTGGAAATTCCCACTGGAAAGCTCCTTCCTGAGCTTTTCCAGCCAGGATACAGCTCCTGGAGGCTCGGCTTGGCTTGACCTCCTCCCACCCCAGTCAGGGCTGCTGGGAGGCATTCCTTGTGTCCAAAATCCCAGCCTTGGGAATGCCACCAGTGGGAAGAGCTGGTGTTGACTCGTGGCTGCTCCCCAAATCCCGCTTTCCCTGGGATCTGGGGCAATGCCGTGTGCACACGAGGTTGGAAATACGATTTGCTGTCCCTTTTTGTTTGGGAATCGCTTTTGGCCGGGAGTCAAGGCCAGCAGGCGAACGGCAAAGCCGCCCCATGGGAGCTCGGGAAAGAGGGAGGAGTTCCAGGGAATGCTACAATTCCAGTGTAACACAAAGGTATGGCGTGTGTGCCTCTGCTTCCCTGCACTCGGAATTCACATCTTTTCAAGTCTCCGGAGGAATTCCCGGCCTAAAAACACTCTCTGTGGCCAAATTCCCGGCTTTGTTCCCAACCAGTCGGGTTTTTCTAAGGACACTTTCTCTCCTCATTCCAAGAACAGTGTTAATGGTGGGGTTTAATCCCTCTGCTCCTTCCTTTCCCTTTTCCGAAGGGTGGCAGCTTTAGAAAAGTATCCGAGGGATTTAATGGCTTCCTTAATATTCCAGGCTTTATAGGCTTCAAATTCACCCGGGAGAACTCAGAGCAAGTGCCAAAATGGGGATATTTTAGGCTTGATCCCTGCTTTCCGTGTTCCTTGGGAATGTGGGGAAAGGGTCTATCCTTGTGTTTTCAGGATGAGGCAATTTGAGGAATTCCTCCGGAATTCCTGGGTGTGTCGGGCTGTTGTGTGACCATTCCCACCACATTCCTGAGTGCCAGGCTGGCACTGGGAGAGTTGGAAGGGAAGGGAAGGCGTGGAAGGGGCTGCCCAGGGAATGGTGGAGTCCCCATCCCTGGGACTGTTCCCCAGATGTGTGGACGTGGATCACAGGTGACCGTGGATGGTTGGACTTGATCTCAGAGGGGTTTTCCAAGCTAAATAATTCCATGATTCCAGTGGTGCTGGGCCTTGCTTAGGTGGGATCACACATCCTCAATTCCCTGGAGAAAAAGCTGGAATGATGTGGTTGGGGTTTGTTCACTCCAATAACTCGCTTTCCTTGTGTTTTGATGGCAAAATTCCTGTCAGGATCATCCTTCTCCTTCATTTTCCCTTCTGAGGTAAAAACCAGCCCAAAGCTGCGTGCAGGGATAAAATAATGGGATTTGGGGAGCCACAAAGGCTGTTCCAAGGGCAGGTTGGATGGGGCTTGGAGCAACTTGGGATAGTGGAAGGTGTCCCTGCCCAGTGGAACGAGATGATCCTTAAAATCCCTTCCATTCCATGATTACTTTGTCCATACAGGAATTATGTGATGGTATTACTGTGACTGTGGGATGGGGCAGCTACAGCTTCTCTGGGAATTCCAGCCCAGCCCCTCGCCACTCTCCCAGCCAGGAATTCCTGCCCAACATCCCACCTAACCCAGTGGGAAGCCATTCCCTGTGGCCTGTCCCTCCATCCTTTGTCCCCAGTCCCTCTCCAGCTCTCCTGGAGCCCCTTTAGGCCCTGGAATTTGCTCTGAGGTCTCCCTGGATCCTTCCCTTCTCCAGGAGAACACCCCCAGCTCTCCCAGCCTGGCTCCATGTCTGAGGGGCTCCAGCCCTTGGAGCATCTCCGTGCCCGGGTTGGATGGGGTTGGGAGCACCCACGGAAGGTGTCCCTGCCCATGGCACACGTGGCACTGGAGAAGCTTCCCGACCCCTCCCACCCCAAACCATTCCAGGATTCCATGACACCCACGGAGGGACCATCCCACTCCAGAGGTCCCCAGGATCCCCTTTGGAGCCTGGAATGTCCCAGGGAGGCCCCCAACCCCCCCCTGCTGTCCCCAGGCCCCTGTGGCTCCTTCCGGTGTCGCTCTCACTTCCCCTTCCCTGCTTTATTTGGGCCTGGCGTTCCTGGTTTTTTGGGTTGGTTGTTCCTCTCTCCGGGGGTTTTCCCTGTCACTGTGGTGGGATCGGGAGGGGCCGGCAGGGGGTGTGGGATGTGGGATGTGGGTGGGATGTGACCCCTCGGGCGCAGGAGCAGAGCCCAGGACTCCCACACAGGGATCTCAGGGACTCCCAGAAATGCAGAGCTTGGGTCCTTCCTGAAGTTCCTGACGGAATTTCACCCTCCATCTGTAGTTTCCCAGCCCTGCCTTGGTGGCTTGGAATTACTGGCTTCCTTGGAAAAATTATCCCTTATTTGTAATCCCTCTCAGGAAGGAATTCCTGGCTGTGAGAGTGGGGAGGGGCCAGGATGGAATTCCCGGAGAAGCGTGGCTGCCCCTGGATCCCTGGGAACGTCCCAGGCCAGGTGGGATCACCTGGCAGGTGTTCCTGCCCTGCTTCCACGTTTCAAACCCTTGGGAAGCACTGGTTTTCCCCGGCTCCTCTCCGTTCCCTTGTTAGTATGTACTCCCAGTTGGAATCAATCACTCTGGGGAGATGGTTCCGTGCTGACCAGTCTTGGACAAGCTTTGCAAAATGATTGATTCCCAGCCCAGCTTTGGAAAACTTGTGAGCAGCTCCATGTGGAGCCGGAGCCAGTCCCGCTCTGGCTCCTGGCAGCGCCGGGGGCTGCGGGAGCAGCCATTCCCTGCAGGCCCGGAGCTGGGAGGCACATATGGAAGTTTCTACTCCCTGTCACGTTTGCTGGGCATGTGGTGCCTCCCTGCTATCCTAACGCCGGGACTGACGGGATGGAGCGCGTGCGGAGCGGCACGGATGGCTCCGGAATTACAAACAGCTTTAATCGTCCTTTTCCCGGGAAAAGGACGGTACTGGGAACCGAGGCCGTAGCTCTGCGTCATTCCCGTCTCTGCACCCTGGGAAGTCCATTGTGGATCATCGCGGAGATGATCCAGGAGCTGGAGCCACTGCCCTGTAGAGCCAGGCTGAGAGAGCTGGGAATGTTCACCTGGAGAAGGGGAGGATCCAGGGAGACCTCAGAGCAAATTCCAGGGCCTAAAGGGGCTCCAGGAGAGCTGGAGAGGGACTGGGGACAAAGGATGGAGGGACAGGCCACAGGGAATGGCTTCCCACTGGGTTAGGTGGGATGTTGGGCAGGAATTCCTGGCTGGGAGAGTGGCGAGGGGCTGGGCTGGAATTCCCAGAGAAGCTGTAGCTGCCCCATCCCTGGAAGTGTCCAAGGCCAGGCTGGAGCACCCTGGGCTAGCGGGAGGTGTTCCTGCCCATGGCAGGGGTGGCACTGCATGATCCTTAAGGTCCCTTCCCACCCAAACCATTCCACAGGGAGGGCTCTTCCCTGTCCCAGGGAGCTGGAAGGGCTGTGGATGTGATTCCATAGAATCCCAGAATCCTGGTTTGTGTCCCATTCAGAGACAGGGAATCCACAACCCCTCTGGGTGACCATTCCCAAATCCATAATGCTGGATCATGTCAGGATGTGGAAGCAGCTTCTCCTCTGAGGATCAGGACTTTTTTCCCTATAAATTCCTGCTTCCCATGGGAAAAAGGGGGACTCTGTTTATATTCCCAGCCAGTGAACAGGAAAAGGTTAAAAATCCTTGGAGGCTCTTGAAGCTTTTTGGCCCTGACATTCCTTTGGTCTCTCAGATGTTTTCCAGCGACTTTGGTTCCAAACGTTATCCCTGTAATTTCCATAAAATACGGGTAGCTCTCCGAGCCTTCCCTGTGTTCTCCCATTCAAAGGGAAAACACGGATTCTCTCATTAAACTTGGGAATTCAGCCACGAAACCCCTTGTTAAGGGGGAGCCAGGGTGGGATGTTCCCCCTGAGCCAACCTGAGCCGGCATTCCGGTTGCAAGGCCTTTGTATCCAATGTTTTCATGGGAAAACAGGATGATAAGGACCTTGGAAGGTGAGCAGGGCCAGGCTTTAAGGATTTGTCAGAATAATTTGCCATAGAGGAACATTTTGAAGCACACCCTGGTAGAACATCCCCCCTGGATCACCTTGAAAGGGAACCGAGGCAGAATCCAACAGGGTGACAACTTTTTAGTGGGTTTTGCCGAGAAAAATATTCCCAAAATATTCCTTTCTGCATCTCACTGTTCCTCAGCGTCCCATCCATCCCCTCCAGAAGTGGTGACACCTCCCAGAGGGTTTAGGCTTGGAAAAAATGGGATGAGGGCCCTTGCAGGTGTTTGGAATTTCAGCCTGGCACAGAAATGGTGCGTGGAAAACAGGGATACCAGGATATGTGTCTCATAATTTATAATATATAGGAAAATCCTGATAAAAATGAGGCTTATCTGGAAATTATCCCACCCCTTATGGTGCCTTTTTTCCCCATCCATTAATATTGTGGGACTGTCTATATTTCCATATCTTCCTCCATGTATTTCCCGGGATTTTGGGGTGGAAAAGGGACTTTTTGCTGAATCCAAAGACTGATGGAGCTCAGCCTGTTTGCTCCAAAACTGGAGCTGCTTTGTTTGGGAATTTGTGAGGGAATAGCTTGGGAAAGTCACCCAGGTCGGGAGCAGGGGGAGAGGAGCAGGAATTTGGCAGGAAAACGTCAGAGCCGCTCCGGTGATCCAGGTGCAGTTGGGCACCTGCACGGGGTGAGTCCTCCCAGCTGGAAGGTCATGGAACACATTTCGTGCTCCCCTTTTCCTGGGAAAAGCCCTCATTAAACAGGGTGGGAACGGCAGGATCGCCGCATCCTGACCGACATTCCCGGTGCCAGAGCGGAGGGAACAAAGCAGGGAAGTGGTGCTGGCAGGGAGATCAGAGGGATCGGAACGGGAATAATGGAGGGAAAGAGCTTTGATCTTTAATAATGTCAGGAATTTTAATTGGAGGGACGGAGCAGCAAGAAAAGAGCGGGATGAGCCGGTTTCCTGGGATAAAGGGCAGGAATTCCTAGGAAATAAGAAATAATTGTAGGATAAGCCATTGGGAAGTTTATTGGCAGAAGGAA